CCATGGTCCTTCTGCCGCCCGGCCTCCTGGACCGAGAGTGATCCTACCCTCGGCCCAAGCTATTATTTTAGGCCCAAACAAGCCGTTAGATCAAATTTTAATGATTTGAATCGTCTGCTCAGCAGACTTAGTATATATAAATCCAAAAGGATCTGATTCGTTGTCTAATTACGGCGTGAACTATTTTTATCTACAATTAATCCTTGAACTTCATGTGTTGTGTTGCAATCTGGTATTCAAATTTCTTAGAGGCCTCTTTAAGGACATATTCGTCATGTACAAAGTCTCACGAGCTAATAGGCTAATAGTTATAGGCTATAGCCAATATTTAAAATATTGATATAGATGTAAATAGCGGTATGTATATATTCAATATCAATTATTTTTTATGAAAATTATGGAAGTTTGTAATGGGGTGGGTATATCAACTCATTCAAATTTAGATAAAAATTTCTAAAAAAATTCATAAGTTCGAAATCTGTGATGGATTCCTGCAAAATTTCTGAAGTGAATTGATAAATATCGTCGATATTCATTAATTTTCCCATCTCACCGATATAAAGTGAAGTTTACATTTTACCCCCTTCCCATATCGATCTTTGATTTTTCTGATATTTAGACGAAAATATCGATAATTTCATATATATTTTGAACACGGGCTATAGCATAGTGATCTATTTGAAAAAAACTTAAATTACTATTCATATTAAGCTTATCTTTTTTAAAAGTGAAAAGCTTCAGGTACTGTTCACTTTAACAAAAAATCATATTTTTACACTAAAAGGTCAATCTTTGTACTATTCACTTTACCTTTTATTTTGTCTTTATCGTTAAAATTCAAAATTTTCAAACTCTTTTCATTAATTTTTTTTTTAATCATAATTCCAAGCTTTCTACCCATTTCTACATCTAAACACACTTCGTGTTCCAACAAAAGCAATAGATAAGAATTTCTAGCTCCATCTCTAAACAAGAGCACTTAAAACCCTACCAAAGTAGCTATTTATACGGTTTTTTTCCCTAACGAAGGCCAAAATTTTCCTTCCATTTTCTCTAGAACACTCATTACATCAGAACCATTATGGGTAAAATTATGAGAATGACCTTAAAAAGGACACAATGTGCTTGTCATGTGAGTTTGACTAAAAAGTGGATGCAATTGACATTAGGGGTGGGCAAATAATCATTGGTTATGGGTAACCGCAGTTATCTGCCCATTTAAATTAAACGGTTACGGTTATGGGTAACCATTTAAATAAATAAACGGTTATGGGTATAACCGTTTACCCACGAAATTTAAATGGATGGTTATGGGTATTAACCACGGTTATAAACAGGTAACCGTTTACCTATTTATTTTATATATGTAAAACTAACACAAACCATGTTCTTGATCCAATAATACTTAGCACCCAATAAATTAGCAAAAAATTCATCGGTCATTCTCTCAATAACACTGCTACAGGAATGATGATTCTCATCATCAAGGAATTTGCCAAATTAATTTAAATTCTTTGCGGGTAACCGTGAAATTAACATAAATGCTTTGACAGAAATGTCTTCTAAACAATTTTTGTAACCCAATAATACTTATAAAATATTATATTTACCTTCATTGGTAACAGTTAAAAATATCATTCGTAAACTATTATTTCAATTATTGGAATGATATAAGAACTTAAAAAATTAAAATACGAAAATGTATGATAAATGTACCTATAACAGTGTTTAATTGTCAACAAATAAAAGAAAATTACGACAATATTTTTTTTTAATTTTCAAGTTGTTTAAAAACATGTAAACGGGTGAAAAATGGGTAATGGTAAAAAAAAGATAAACGGGTTAAAAATGGTAAATGGGTATTAAACAGTTACGGTTAAATGACTATGCTGTTATGAGTATGGTTAACCGTTTATAAACGGTTATGGTTATGGGTATAACAGTTTAGGCAATTACCCAACGGGTAAATGGTTATGCGGGTATGAGCATAAACGGTTATGGGTAAATAACCGCGGTTACCCGCCCACCATAACCGTTGCTCATCCCTAAATTGGCACAGAAAATGAAAAACCATGGGCCATTTAGGCGAAATTTCGTTTTCTGAAATAACGTTTTGGGCCTTCTATTTCACGTATTGGGCTTATGGTATCCAACGGGCTGGTATGGGCCTCCGAGTGACGAGATCCCTTCCCGAAATCAGAACGAATGAATTAAAACCCAGAAGCAGTTTTCCATGTTGACTTTCACACGCTTTGTGGCAAAAAAATCAATTGGCAGCAACCGACATGCAAAGTCGGGCACCACAAAATCTGGAAAATTACATTATTAAACAAAATAATTCAACAAGTCTGCTACCACTACAGTTGCCCTAACTTTTTAAAACAAACTGCTTAATTTCCTTTATTTTTGTGCCAAATTTTTGTTTTTCAACTTAATGATTTGGTTTTTGATGGTCAGTATTCATCATGTTCAGGCCACCAGCCCAAAGAAATGAATTAAAAAGCAGGAGAAATGCTTAGGGGACTGTCTTAAATTGAGACTCTCACTGATTCTCTGTTATTTTACAGTTTAACGTCAATTTCTATGCTAACATTGTAAATTATTGTGCCATAAACATAAGTAGGAGCTGCAGATATCCCCCTCTGAAATTTGTTGGTGCATGTGCTGTTCCTTTGAATATGTTTGACTGGAAGTCTGGGAATCATGATAAATATACGATTTTCCACTAGATACTGTTAGAAAGTGATAGAGGATGTTTGATATTTTGGCAGAGTAACGAGTACTTGCAGGACCACCTTACTGGAATTATACAATTTTGCGGTATTTGGATGCACGGCCGATGCATGCTTGCATGGCCGGACATTGCAAATTTGAGTTACCAGTCCAAATGATCGATCTAGACCTATACGTACATAGTGTGGTCCAGGAACCCAACTGACATGAGTATATAAAACCCACAGAAATTAACCACCGTAAATAACTGTTTTTATCTTCTTTCTTTCCAACTACCATAAATAAGATAAAATTATAGCAAAAAATAATTAAGGGCAACGATCTTCATCCTCCTCTTTTAGTTATCTGCAGTTCAAATTGTCTGTACTTTATGTACATTACCAGAAGGCGTGCAGGAATTTCGAAAAGGAGTACTGAAATCATTAGGCTATACTAATTAAAAAGGTTAAAACTTAATTAGATTATGAGACACATCTTCTCTTGATCATCGTTTGGTTTGTTAGACTGCATGCATGCATCTAAGTGGATCTAGTTCGGTTTTAGTTAGTTTTTAACTAGACCATTTGTCTACTAGAAAATGAAGATGATCAACCAAACTAGATACTCCTAAAGACTAAAACAAGACATTGGGTGGAGTTGTGCCCATCCCTACTTGGATCATAAAAATACTAACAATCATACGTTTTCTATTAGATTTTACCTAATACCCGACATGAATTAGCTTTTATTATCGTTTTTAAGAATGACACTAATGAGTAGTTTCATAGTAGTGTACAAAGATAGATATTATATATATATATGTATGTATGTATGTATGTATGTATGTATATATGCCCTCAGGAGAAGGCCTTTTAATTAGCTACATGTGGACCATATAATCTCTATGATTATCTTCATCTTAATTAATTATATGACTACACGAGACCCTGAATATTCTGCTGATCAATTACTTATGTAAGTAGAAGTTAATTAATAATTGATATATATATATATATATATATATATATATGACTACACAAGGCCCTGAATATTCTGCTGATCAATTACTTATGTAAGTAGAAGTTAATTAATAATTGATATATATATATATATATATATATATATATATGACTACACAAGGCCCTGAATATTCTGCTGATCAAGTACTAGTGTAAGTAGGAGATACCTACAATATCTAATCTAAACTATATATTAATGGAATCTTCTTTGTTAACCAAAAGAAAGTGAAAACATAATTTAATTTTCTACCACAAAACAAAATCATGGCCATAAAGTAATTTTACAATTTTTTTAAAGCTTCACCCAAAAGTGATATTAATATCCTCTAATTTTAAAAAAATAAAATAAAGCAAAAACTTCTCTCTTCAATTCCACGTTCCTCTTTTTCTCCCTCTCTCCTTCCCATTTAAAGCAAAAATAAAAAATATTTCCACACAAAGTGTGAGGCATATGCTAGTTTATGATTATGTTAAATTAAATGGTCTTCTATTTTTTTTTTTTTTGGGTAAATAAAGTAAAATGGTCTTGGTATTGTGGTTTTCTAGAGATCATCATTTGTTATATGAGGACAAAATAGTAGAAATTATAACACTCACAAAGTAAGAGAGCATTTGATAATCATTTTGTTTTAAATTTTTTTATTTATGTTTACACTTCTTTTAGATTGAAAATCTTGTTTGATAACTACTTTCAATTAAAAAAAAAAACTTCTCAAAAATCGCTTTCAAGTTTCACAAAATAAAAACGCAATGTCCCCTAAGTCTACAACTAGCCAGAAATGTCTACTACTATTGCATCTAAATAAGACACACTGGCTGTAATCAAAGTATATGTAGTGTAGAAAGTCTATTATAGCATAGACTAGTGAATAATTTAGATTTATGACTCTCTTGGCTAGGAGTAAATTTGTATACTAATTTAATAATATTCCCTTGTACAATTGAGCTTTTTTTTAAAGCACGTTATAAAAATAGTAACGTGGAGTAGTGAATAATTCGGGTTATGATATTTTTAAAGAAGATATATTTATATATCTAGAAAAATAAAATATTTAGTTTCTACTCATGCGTCTCTTATATGGAACTCACCTCTTTCCTAATTTAAGAGCCACGTCCCTCTCAAGTCTCAACCAAGCCAAATGACACTTGCACAATACCTAAAGCCTAAGGCCCTGTCTTCTCTACATTCCGCCACACTACCTCCCCTTTTTAAAGTCACGAGATCAGCTAACTTTGTTTTTCATTTTTGTTAAAAATTTTATTGAGAGAGAGAGAGAGAGAGAGAGAGAGATGAAAAGGGGTTTGGCAGAGAAACTGAGAGAATTTTCAAAGCTCCTTTTCTTCCACCATCACTCAACGAGCCTCTAAGAAAAACTATAATTTCCAAAGATCCGTCTTCCCGTCTGAGAGAAGAGAGAGATACTTCGCCTCACATTCACAATTTTATTTCTGTCTTTCTCTGTCGGTACCATGTAGGTCTTCCCCCACACTTTTCTCACCGGCTGCTTGCTTCTCTTCCTCTTCTCTTTAATTTCTCTCCTGCCCTTTTTAATACCACTTTGTGTGTGTATAGGTCTTCTTTTTTATAAGTTCAACACCAGTACTATTATTACCTGGTTTTTTTATAAGTCTTTTTTTATAAGTCTTTTTTTATTTTTATTTTTTGGATTTTGATCTTGTATTATTTACTTCTTGTTTTTTATTGCAGGCGACCTGATGAAGGAAACCCACTAGACCTCAACAACTTGCCCGAGGATCATTACGGCAGAGATGGCCAACAAGTTGCCGACGTCAGCTCCTCCGGTACTACTCAAATATCTGATATCCTACCACCATTCCCCAAACTAAAAAAACGCAAAACCAAATACCCTTAAATTTATTCATGATGATTTTTGGTTAATTAATAAATTAGGTAGGGTTTGAGGTGATTAGGTTGTGTCTTATCGAAGTTGCTTTTTTTTTTTTTATGATTGAGGGGTTTCACATAGTTGCAGGCAGCTACAGAAAAAAGAAAAACGGCGCAAAAGATGGAAAGGACGAGAGTGGGAAGGTCTACGAGTGTAGGTTTTGCTCCCTCAAGTTCTGCAAATCCCAGGCCCTCGGGGGACACATGAACCGCCACCGTCAAGGTACTCTCTCCTCATTTCTCTTCTATTCAATTTTAACAAGAAATTCAAAAGCAGCTTTTCAGCAAAGCATAATTTTACATTGTCATCAATGATTCCAGCCATGAAGTATCCTCGGTCATTTCAGTATCTTGAGGAAAAGAAAGTTTGTAATTTGATTTGATCGGTTGTTTTCTTTTGCTGAAATTCTTGTTTTGTCAATTAAGGTTCATGTGCTTATTTATTTATTTTTGGTTCTGAATTCCTAGTTATTTATGTATTATTATGGGTGATTTGACTTGTGTATTGGAATGGCCATCAGAAAGGGAGACAGAACAACTAAACAGGGCTCGTCGGTTGGTTTTCAATAACGATAACCTAGCCGCCCCTCCTCCTCACCTAGGGTATGTAATTTTATGCTTTAATGTCTCTTCCTTTTCTTTTAATAAATTAGTTGGTGATGCAATGGAGTGTCCTCTTCTTCTGCACTTAAGATTGAATCCTCTTAATCATGGTTAAGATGAATTTAGTATAAGATATGTTTTTGTATAAAAACAAATAAAATAGTTGGTATTTATTTAGTGTGATTTGATTTGTGTACTGGGTTTGATATTTTATAGATGCTGCCATCCGATTCCACCAGGAGTATCATCATACGGCTGCTGCAGGTAACAACATTGGTGGTGCTGATCCAACATTACCTCTCAGATTTCCACCAAGAATGTTTTCTGCCTCTTCATCAAACACCCTTATACCACCGCCATTGCCACCGCAGCTAGGTGTACAAGTACAACCCCCTCAACCCTACTTATATCCGTCTCCGTCACGGCCCATGCCCTTCCCTACTTCTTCGCACTACCCTCATCATCAAGTCAATGACTATTATGTTGGACATGTTCTTAGCAACAATACTCGCACTCCTTCATACGGGCATCCAAATGTGAACTACGGAGTGGCACCGGCGGAGTCCACCAACTACACTTGCATTGGAGCGCCTGTGGGACCAGGAAGAGGTGGAGGTGGAGGTGGTTGTAGTGGTCGTGGTCGTGGTAGAGACGAATCGCTGCACGTGAATCAGGAAGAAGCATTGAATTGGAGCAGGAGCTACGCAGGGACTCCTCCTTCGATCAATCGATTTCAACATGGCTCCTAATATTAAGTAAAACACTTCCTTTTTTTTTTTTTTTTCTTTTTTTGGGTTTTTGTTGAGCGAGTGATAGTCTGAAGCATTATTATTAGGGTCTCTGCCTTGACACGCCACCCAGAACTGACAGATAGAAAGAGAGAGACTTAACAAGAAGACAAATGGGATCATGAGAAAGAGGAAGGAGATGACTGAGCTTTTTTTGGTATTTTTCTACAAGGGGACTGGGACAGCCTTTGAGCTCATCGACACCCTCAGCAACTTTGGCTCCGAGTTGAAATTAAAATGTTGTTGTAACTAATGGGAGGATTTCAACGTAGAAATCCGAGTGTGTAATCCACACCAAAAGTCTGAAAAGGGGAACTAGAAAAGGGGATTGTGGGACAAGTTAGATTTGAACTGAAAGTTCCAACCCCTTTTTAACGTTTCGTGTTCGTTTTGCATGCCAATCAATTTTCTTTTATTTTGCTTTCTATTTCTATTGCTTCCTTCCATTGCCTTTTCCTAGATCATTTAATTTTATATGGTTTCAGCGTTTTGACCACTGGAAAATAGGGTGGGTGTTTCTCTCTCTAGATTTCTTGGTGCAGTGCGTAGCCTCTGATCCACCCCAAAAATTAGGGTCTTCAGATCTCTGGGTCATATATGGTCACAGTGTCAAACCATGCTTGGAGTCTATAGGGGGCAATGGCCTGTTGAGGAACTCGCAATTCCATCTTGTTTCTGGCTGCAACTTCCCTCACCAGAAACAAATACATTTCTTGTCTGTTCAACTGTACCCCTCCAAACTCCAAAGCATAATCCAGATCCCTGATCCCCGCCATTAACATATATCAAATGGAACTATATATACGCATGTGTGATCAGTTGGTTTCATGTAATCGAAGAAACATTGGTCATGTTTATTGATATTTTCCCCAATCTTGTAAATTATTAGTTGTTTTTCTTAAGAGAAAGTGCTGCTATAACAGCTCACGTTTCTAGGGAATGCCATTAGAAATACTCCTAAATCGAAATATAGAAATATAGTTGAGAACCGTGTTAAAAAAAATATAGTAGTTGAAAATACTCACTATGCATAAAGTGATCAACATTGCTACCAGAATGGTTAGAGACAATGGAAGAAAAGAATCAGATAAAGAATCCCTAAAATGGGCGAGGCTAGTATTGAACACTCTACCATTTAGAGCCCTTAGATCCACAATTCACAGACAAAGACAGTTAATCGAATAGGTTTAACTTTCAATTTAGAAAGTGATATATAAGACTCATGGTGAAATCATTTTTTTTTTTTTTTTTTTGCTTTTCAATTTTAGTTATTTTGAAAAACTTTCAATTTACAAAGTGATAATATTTTTTACTTCAGTATGAGTCTTAGATATGTTACTCATGAAACAAAGTACCAGTTCTCATATTTTCTTATGTAAGTTTATGTGGTTTCGCTATGCAAAAATGATGGTGTGGTTATCAATTTAGATTCGTTGCATATATCGTGTTTTGTGATAGATTTGTATTCATGTCATTTGGAGTTTTGTGCATATATCGTGCTTTCACCCCACTACACTAATTTCTTGGTCACTGCCTATAGTTACGTACCCAATTCGAATGTTTTGTTCAAATATTTACTAATTTCATATATACAATTGGTCCGTAATAATTTGAATGGTTTTAGGATAATCGACTTCAAGAGAAAAACAAGTAAGCATTATAAGATCATATATAGGATGCAGATGCAATCTGAGACATGGACTGATGATTTCAGAAAAAATCTGAACCTGAAACCAATTAAATAATCATGGCGGGTACCTATTATCTCTTAAATTCTGTGTTGATTGAGAATTACCTTTAGGAACACAGAACACTTTACTGCAGCGCTAACCCTAGCTATGGAGGAAGTATGGAGGAAGAAGCAGCTGGCTTAAATATATGGGTTGACCAACCTATTTTTCTGCCAATTGCTGCGGCAGAAGATTTAAAGCGATTAGGGGTTCAGGTGCTTAAAAGTGCAACTTGAAGTGACTGATGAAGATTGGTAGGGAGGAGGCGGGGCACCAGGAGCTACACAAGAGACAGATAGTTGAAGATAGAAGACACCAGAGAATCCAACCCTAGCCCTAGCTATATATATAGCTAACCCTAGCTTGTTGCAGACTCAACTTGCACACACACATACGTATATATACATATATATGTTATATTTATGTAATAGGTTAAGCTAGACTGCAACCATCTACAGTACTACCGCTAGTTGTTTTTGCCGATAAGAAATCAGATTGTTAACTAATGGAACTACATCTGAGCCCATACTGGGGAAAAAGGATCCTCGCTGGATCATTTTCCTGAGGATTTTAGGGATTTCGCGATTCTCATCGTTTATCGTACATCGTGCAATCAGTTTTTGTTAGATACTATTTATATTTAATTTTAAATTTTAAAATAATTTTTGACCACATAATATACGATGAATGGTCACGATCACGAGAGATTTTTCAGTGTTCTCGTCACACGAAGTGTTACACCATTTGTCCCTTTATAAATGGTGGGTTATGTGTGTTAAAATGTTAATAACTTAAAAATTAAAATTTTTCATCACTTGCATAAAATACATGATGTACCATCCTTATTCTCGTCATAACTAAAAAATTTCTCACGGGATTTTTATGATTCCAAAGAAAAAAATCCGGCCAGAATCCTTTTTCCATACTGGGTACTCCTACCAAGCTAGTGTTTAACCCGATTTGGTTCGCAGCTAAAACCTAGCTACCTGGACCCACAAACACATATTTATATAACTGAAGATCCTTCAAATTAATTATTTACTTTTTGTTATTTCATTAATCCTATCGCAAGGTTCTGGATGCTAATTAATTAGTTTGATTGTAATGAATCCATCTTTCTTAGCATTTTTTTTTTGGAACTTTAACGAAAAGCACATGATACTGTTCATTTTAACGAAAAACCACATTTTAACTCTAAAAAGTCAATCCTGGTACTATTCACTTTACCCTTTATTTTGTCCTTATCATTAAAATTCAAAGTTTTCAAGCCTTTTTCATTATATATATTTTTTTTAAAGTTTACAATAGATAGAGATTAATTTGAAGTTGGGTAGGAACGCACATTAATTGTTCTAACAAATTTGACTAAATTCGTCTGCATCTTTGTTAACATGCATGGTGATCAAACTTAACTTACTAAGCTAATTGGTGAATATCTACTGGTAGTGGCGTGATGAAGTCAAAACTTTGTCCCCTACATTCTCCTTTACTTTTGAAATGACTTTTATCTAAATGGTTCATGAAATTGGCATAATTTTTCATTTTGGTTCACGAGATTTAAAACTGATAAAAGTGGTTCATGAGTTTGTCGACCATCAATGTTTTGGTTATTCCATAAAAAAATTTCATTAAATAAGGATAAAATAACAACAATACCCTCAATTTTTGTTAAATCATTTTGGCCTATTGTTCGTTAATTGAAGCTAAAGGTATTTTTGTCATTTTGCTCCTTTAACATAAATTTTCAGGGAATGACCAAAATGATTGATGGTGGACAAACTCAGAGACCACTTCTATCAATTTCAAATCTTAAAAACCAAAGTGAGAAATTATGCAAATTTCAAAGTCTATTTGGCTAAAAAGCCCTTTTAAAATCAACCTTTCAAAGACATTTCGCCAAACATCTAATTAGCAACATTCGGCTCAAAATTATTGGTAGTGGTGTGACGGAGCGAATAACAATGAGTTCTTTTGAAATCCCTCAAAGACATTTCAATCAACACTTAATTATTAACATTTGATAACATGATTTTATTTAAACTAAAACTAAGTGTTTGTAAAATAAATAAATAAAACACTCAAAATATTGCTTAAAAAGTCGTTAATTTATATAATTTGAAAAAGGATATTTAAACATATCGTACTTATAATCATTTTCAATTTTTAATTGTTGTTTCTATTTTTTTTTAAATTTAAAAATTGAAATCTTGTTTGTAAATACTATTCGATTAACAAATGAAAATTGAAAACTATTTTCTTAAGTTTTCAAATTTTGGTTTTCTGTTTTTATTTATTAATTTTAAAAACAGGTTTCTATTTTCAATTTTAAAAATATAAATATTGAAAACCAAAAACTAAAAACTGAAATAATTATCAAACGAGTCATTCACTTTGTAGAACAAATCACAAACTAGAGCATAGCCATAACTAGGTCAGACTGGATGATCAAGCACATTCAAATAGTGATCACAAGTAGAGAGACTGGCGCCCTACCACAAATGTTACAAACAAATGATGTATAAAGCTAAGTAACATTTGGTTTCTAATTTGTACGTATCTTTCATTGCATTTGGTATTTATTTTAAATAATTTAGTCAAGTACCTGCTAGATATGCAGGAGCAGCAGTTATATATATCAAGTATCAACTATAAACGACAAATGATAAAAAACAAACCTATATTTATTTTCTTATCAAAAGCATAAAATACAAGATATAATTACGAAAACAAAAGAACAAAAATTAGAATAAAAACCACTCAATACAAAATTAGAAATAAAAATCAATCAATCAACTGTACTATATATTAATGCAGTTTCTGAACACAGTTTAGGGTTGCCCTAGTGGTAAGCATGCTGATGCTTTTTAATTTAGCCTAAGAAGTGTACTCCTTTGTTATATTTCACTCTTATAAGATGATAATGAAATTGTAATCATCTTTCTAAAAGCATAATTAACTCAATTAATTGTCATAAAAATATATATATACTGGGAAGTGTACTCTCTCTTTCTCAATATTGGTGCGATCCCAAGATATAAATATATCTAATGAAGAAAGGTATGTGACTGTATAGCTAGGTTGACAAAGATCCGGGCACGGAGAGAGAAAGAGATGAATCACGGATAATAATTATAAAATTTTGTAAACATATGTAGAAGGCCAATAATTAAGAAAGCAATTTACATGGTGTGTGTATATCATAAATATGACGTCGTGTGTCAATGAAACAATGACGTCTGAAGAAAAATCACACATGTTTTTGTGAAATTTACATGAAAGCTAAAGTAACAATGTGCTCATGGCATGAAAGTTATTTTGACAAGAAACTACTTCTAAAAGTTGCATATAAATTTAATAATAGTTACTGTAACAACTTAATACTCGAGAGAGATCAGGCTGAAACTGAAATACGGGGAGAGAGGTGGAGCGCGCATGCATAAACTACAAAATATATATAGCCTCAGCAAAAGTAGACGGGCTTATTGGATATAGACCCAGCTTTGCTTAATATTTGATCAGCTTTTTACAGTGAATTATTTTGATGTCTCTGTGACTATAGTTCTAGCTAATAAGCTAACTGATCCATCACTCGATCAGTTGCTGTATCTTTGTTATCTCCTTCCACTTATTTGGTTTGCTAATAGTCTCTGATCACATGATCCGAGATATCTCCCTTGCTTTGTGTATGCGTGTGAGTTCTGTGTACTGTGTGAGCGAAAGAAAGTAAGTAGCTAGCTAGGTTTTTTTTCTCTTTCTTTCAACTACCAAAATACTTTTAACTCGACATATATACTGCTGCCATCAGTTTTTACAAACAAAGCGACCTTTAATTAATAGGCAAACCAATTGGACCATTGATAATTTCTCTTGTTTTTTCTTCTTCAACAATTCTAAAACCTAGGTCAGATATTGTTAGTTAATATAATTGTCATGATTAGTCACTTTAGCTAATTCTATTTAGCATAATTAAACGTGTAATTAATCAATTTTATTAGTTGAATGAGAAAATAGAGTGATCTCCGCAAACCCTAGGTTTTATTCTCTTCAGTTCATGTGAAAGATTTGGTTTGTGGTTTGAAAAACTCTTTACTACATAGCATGGTAACCACCATCAAAAGTTAATAAATCTTGCTATAAGTTATAAGAAGTTGTGTTATTCATCCTCATTAGTTGGTTTTGAAGTGAAACTTCCTTCAGTTTTCACTTGAAATTTGTGCTCAATGCATTATCTCCTTCATTTCACCCTCCTCTCAACCATATCCTTCATTCATTTTCTCACGAATGTAATGTTCCTCTCTCTCTATAGTGCAAAAAGTATAAAGTAAAAATTAAAGATGATAATCTAATTATAATCCAAAGTGAATAGCTGCAACGCAACCATCAAACAGTTTCCACTTGTTTGGTTACTTCGCAATCATCAAACATCTTGCCCTTGTTAGTACACACGTACCATCCTAAGGGCCTAGGACAGTTGTATGTCGTACTTTTGCATGTGTTGTGTTTATCCATATATTTCAATTTTAGCTCGTTATAACATGAATCAGGATCGGGAGAGAGACGTTTTTGATACCCACTTCGTGATGTATTTTAACAATTCGAACTGTCTATATTTTAGTACATTATTCATAAATCATCTTTCTAAAAAATTAAATAAATTTAAAATTATTAAGACATTCATTTATAATAAAGAAATGGTTGATTACAATTTGGCAAAAAAAATTAAATTTAATCCAATAGTCATATGACTTTTAGGTAATCTTTGGTAGATATAATATTTGAGAGAAAAAAATAAAAGATAAATTGTTGGATCGTTAAAATATGTTATAGAGTTAGCAGCACCAAAACATAACTGAAAATATGTATAAAAATATGTGTCTCCATATCCAACCCTATATAGACGGATGGGTGCCACCACATTTTTCACACAAGATTTTGACACAAGTTCTGGGCCATTAAATTCGTACACTTTTGTTGAGGAGAAATTTTTTATTTTTTAAGTTATTAACTTTTTAGCACACATATCCTATCATTTATATAGTGACACATGATGTACCACTCATTGTACCGATCACATTGAAAAAAATTCTATTTTTTGAGGTGGAAAGTTATTCATCAACTTTTTTTTTTAAATTTATTTAAATAGTTAAATAAAACTTTTAATTATAAATTTTATTCTCTCTGATCTCATTAATTGTGCTTTACTAATTTTCTCCCCTTACTTATTCCACTCTTTCTTCCCCAATTCTCCCTATATACGTCGTTCTGCATTTTTTTTTCATGGATCCACTTAATATAGTCTTGAGACTTAGGATTTTAAATTGTAAGATGAAAACGGTTAATATGTCTTCAATCATATCCGGCATCATGAACCAGGATAATCAACTAGAGTTATTGGCTATATTATTCATATTGAGTTAGGGGTCTGCAATCAACTATTAGCCATAGTCTGCAGAACATAATTTCATTTTTTGCCTTTAATCAATTGTAGTCATAGGCGCTATAGCTGCAAGGCACAAAAGGTTGGTTGGTGAATTAAGATATGGCCATCAAGATGTCAAAAAATTAAAAAGAAAAAGAAACTGTGAAAACACGATAGAAGGGGAGGACGACGGAGAGAAGAATGAATACATTGAATAGTGGTCATGGTATCGTGTCTCCCTACTTGGATGCTTTTACCAGTTGCCTTAGCATCTGCAGCGTGGTATATTAAATAGAATAGTGAATAGGCCTTCCTATGAGTACAAAGGAAGAACGATGAAGAGGATAAGGGAAAAGAAAAAAATGTCCCTAATAGGCTAATATATGTAATAATACATGAAAAATAATTTACCTACCATGTATACAAAAATGTTATTTGATTCAAAATATATAATCTAGGTTTTCTCAAATTAAAAAAAAAAAAATATATATATATATATAATCAAGGTGTAGTATATATATTTTTTATATAATTGGAACAAATTAATTTGCCTACCTACAAATTAATTTCCACTAATTTACCTACAAAAAATTATACCCCGTGTGTAATATAATATCTTTTTTTTCATTAGTACATGGAGAATAATTTACCCATAACAAGAAGAAATGTAATTTGATGTATTATATTGAAAAATATTATGTCATACCTAAATTTATACAACAATAAAACGTGCCTAATATATGTAACAATACATGAAAAATAATTTACCTACAAGTTAGAGAAGTGTTATTTGATTCAAAATATATAATATGGATTTAGTATAATCTTTTTTAATAATTGGAACAAATTAATTTACTTCCCAATTAATGCAAAATATATATATCACAAAAAAGGTAAATTTTTGGTATGAAATGGATACAATTAATGCAATACAACAATTTATATATTTTATTTCACTTTTTCTACAACTTTTAATTTGGAATAAATTTAGGGATTTGGGAAAGTGGCATGAGTGTAAATAAATTGTATTAGTAGGTCAACAGTGTTCCAATGTGGCTGTAGATTTTAAATTTGGGTTTTTATTGGACATTTGTATGTAGATGAGTTTTTATCTAAAAATCATGAATTGTAAGGGCCAAAATCTAAAGCACCAAATAAATAATCAAGCAGGAAAAGGGAGGAGAATTAATGAGATAGGAGTGAGAATTATAAATTTACAAGGTTTTTAGAATTTTGTTCCCTGATACATAATTATTTAAAGAAAGATAATTAATTGGATTAATCAGATTGCATCTCAACCGTTAAAATTGTACAAATCTAATTATTTAGAACTGTGTATTTTCTTTGGTGTCACAAATCTGCCCAACACACATATATTTGATGAGAAGTATACTAGAAGGTGCAGCTGGGAGGTCTGAAGCAAGCGACCAATGGAAATGAGGATTTTAAAACGAAATTCAAGACGAAAACGACTGCTCAGTTCAACAATATCAATGTGAGTTGTTGGTGAAGATCACGCGGTTGAGCACCACCACCACCTCTTATGGCATTTTATGATTCAAACCAGGTTTTCTTTTTTGGTGTGATATATACACCTCATATACATATAAAGCTGTCTAATTATAAAAGCACCACCATCACTTCTTATGGCATTTTATGATTCAAACCAGGTTTTCTTTTTTGGTGTGATGTATACACCTCATATACATAGAAAGCTCTCTCTCTCTCTCTCTCTCTCTCTCTCTCTCTCTCTCTCTCTCTCTCTCTCTCGCCATGCATGCTGCTAAAATGTTAAACCAACAATGTTACATCTTTGTCACGACACAGACACAGACACAGTGAATATAAACGCACTGCTAATTGTTGTAAGTGTGCCTTTCAGAAGTGTTTGCTGAAGTTTCCTGCAAGCATACTTAGAGAGTACTTTTGTCTTTTGAGAAACCGACGTGGGTTTCGTGTTTGCACGAGAGAAGCTATGTCGTTGAGAAGTGTGATCCTATCTATGTATAACTATACCCACCATCAGGTCTTGTAAACTTGTCTCTTCTTGCCACTGCACCGTCATATTTATCATAAGCCCTAGCTGCTTTGCTAGGTTAAATGTATATATACATACACTTTATATATATATATGCAATAGTGCAGCCTTATATAATTAGGTCTAGCCCTCTAGGGTCTAGGTATCTAGGGCACTAGGGCTCTCAGATCGAGGCTCATCAGGCTGTGGCAGCAGCTGTGATAGATATATGGCAGTGTCGTTGTAGATCGGATCGGACTCTCTTGGGGAGCAAACAAGAATGTTTTGGTTTGTTCTGATCATATATGTCAAACTTTAAAGTCATATTACTGTGGTTCTCCTCATACATATATATGGTTCCAGCTTCGGAAAAGTTAAAAGTAAATTACCAGACGAATTTCTGGTGTAATAAGAAATCTATGCTTACCTTAAAGAGATTATACAAAGATTACATGATTAAACGAGCAATGGTTGGGTCCTGACTTGGACTTTCTCATCTTTACATTTTTCGCATGGACCAAATATTTTGAACATCGATCCAACCACATCCATTCTCTTCTTCCGTCATTAAAACCTTAAACTAGTCCGGACCCAGAGCATATATATAATTACAAAGGCATATAAGTGTAGAAATGATTCATGAAATGAAATTCGTTAGTCATGTACGTAAATGAAGAGAAGAAAAGAGGAACCTTATTGGCACAGCAAACTCATACATAGCATCCGGTGCTGTTGGAAGACATAAAATTCCGATTCAAAATTTCATGTGTGCATATTGTGAGTCCATGCCTACTGGTCATGGAGGATAATACATAATTATCAAGGACAATATCTGAATTTGATTGGTTTCCATCTCGCTAATTAAAATATGCAAATCACAATCACAACTAATGCCTCATCGGCTCATAGACGAAATATGTTGGGAATCGGTGTGAAAGCCAGAGCAGTTGCCCTCCAATCAGTCACGACACAAGATCTGTTGTAGATAAAGTGATTGCAATAACAACAATTTGTGAATGATAAGAGAAACATTTGAGTTCTTGACGTCATAAGATAAGATACAAATATACAAATCGTATTCACGAGTACGGTTGAATCCTCAGCACTTTCTTTACATACTATTGGAAATTGTATTACCTAGAGTAGTAACGTATGTTTTCTTTTGTGCTCTTTCTCCTGTGCAACTTGATCCAAATGATTTACTTGAGCACTATAAGGACTTAACCAGCTCAGCAGCCCGACGGGCAGCAGCAGATGCACGCTCAGCAGAGGCAATGGCAGCTCGAGCTCTGTCCAAGATATCAGATGATTGTGGTCTTGTCTCCCCTTTGGTTTCACTAACTGGCCTTGCTTTATCATCATTCCCTGATGGTTGAATCTCACTACTGAACGATGGTGTGTTGATTAAAGATCTTGGAGCACGGAGGTATTGAGGTTCTTGTTTAACATCTGCAGGCACAATAGTATGTGCCCCATTAGAAGGTGGGGAACTAAAAGTTACTCGTTTTGCGGGAGCTTGAGAAGGTGCAGCAGCACCACTTACATGCTTCAATCCACCCTACAAATAATGAGACAAAAGGCCACAACTTCTGTAATCAAAGTGTAAACAACATTAAAATTTCCTAATAAATTCAAACATATGGTTTCAAGATGTGAGTCCAATTTCAAATGTTGTTCGAAATCAATCCACTTTAATATCCAATTCCCTATCAAGCTACTGAATCCATATCGAATAATAAAAGGGTTACTGTTGACTAAAATGACAATTGAAACCAAAAAAATCATGTATCATGAGCGCACGCAAGAAATTCCTGTATCATGAGAAGTTGCACACGACTACAAAACTAAACCATGACACAAATGATGTTAGAAGATTAAGCTACAACTAATCACTTTTAAAACGGAAAAGAACTTAGTTTTTAAAAGTACCAGCAGATCGTCATGCTTTTTACTGAATTCCGCTTCAGTGTCAGAAGAATCCCAATTCAGCTTGTACTCTTGTGCAATTTCCTTCAATACCTTAAGCCTTGCCTCTCCAGACGGAGCACTAACTGAAAGCTTTTCAATTATCTGCCAAAATTATACAAAACGAATTGAAAAGTGGCATCAGTTTTATTTTACAAATATGATGCTGTTCTTCAAAGACTCACAGTTGCATATGCAATAAAACCGCTTAACTGTTCTGTTGACACCAGAATCAGGACGAAGCTCAGACGCAGCTGATACAAATTCCTTCCCATATTTTGCTGTAAACAAATTTGTGATCTGCATTAAATCTGGAACATCTGAGCATCTTGGGGCGGCAAAAATTATGCTCGATATAGCTTCTCGTAATTCCGTTGGACACTCCCTACAATTAGAGAAAAATTGGTCAAGAAATTGAGTGGCATAAATAAATTATATTGACATTAACATAACAGACATGTGTGCAAAAGTAACACAGTTCCAATATGCCTGCTGGTTAAAACAAACCGCAATGCTCAAAGTTTTTCCAACTTGCATTAGTATTTTGTGTCTTCATGTCCTACTGCTTAAAACAAACAACAATGATAGACTCCAAAGTACATATTTAGGGTAATGCAACTAGTCTGTACATGTTCATATATGACAAGGGAGGCCAAGTGTCAGAAGTTATCTAAAGCCGAAACTTACCTCTGATTTTCAATAATGGGAACCCGTGCAAGTACAAATTCACAGAACAGCTCCAATATCTCATAAGCAGCCCAAATGTTTTGCTCTCGTATAACATGCTCCACCTGACCATTATCAAATGTTCACCACAATTATCTATAACAATTCAAACAAGAAACAGATACCAATCAAATGGGCATAGACATTTTTTTGTTACAATTTTGGAAGTTGTACCCGAATTCGAGCTATTGCTTCTTGGCCAGCCTGCAAAAACTGCGCAATCTCCTTGCGCATATGTTTGAGCTGCACATCTCTCTTGTTTTGCAGCAATTTAATGCGTGAAATACCCAAATTCAAACATGTTTTGCTGCAAAACAAACCCGCCAAGGTTAAGGATTTAGACCCCCTTATTACAACAGCGATGAAAAAGTTTAGAAATTTGCCACCATGTCTCCAAATTTCACACTTAGGAGAGTTAACAAACAACCAATTTACTAAAAACAATGAACATTTAGCGCCAACAGCTCAGAAATGCCAAAAACCGATCAAAGTATTTCCACAAGTATACTAATGACATGATCAAAGAAACCCAGATGGTAATATGCGTTGACAAATATTGGGTACCTCCCATAATCAAGAATTTAGATAACGTATTGAACATTTATTAAACTAAAATTTAACGAAAACAAGAAATTCTGGATAACTAATTACGAAATTAAATCATGATAAGCAAAGAACAAGGAGACCCAGATGATTAATACGACTAATCAAACAAACAAGTAAAAGGATGTGATTCACCAACCATTTTGTGCCGAAAACGCCTCTGTTGAAGAGCTGGTTTAACAGAGACATGGATGCCTAACGAAGACGACGAGCCTCTTGTGGAATGCCGATCGCTTAATAAAGATCATTAAAGACTGCGATGTTTGGAGTTTGTGACGGACAATCGCAGAAAATCAACTACTTGTCTTCAACTTCTGGGTCAACCTCTGGATCAGTGGTTTCCCTACCGACCTTATTTTTTCTTGCTAATTTTCTCTTTTAAAAATTAAAAAAAAAAGATTAGGGGAACTTCACCAAAATAATAAAATAAATTCATTGACCATTAAACGTCTAAATAATGGATCAAAACGTCTAAAAAAATCGAAAAATATATTTAGGCAAAAAACTTAGCTCAAATTCAATATATTTAGAGGTAATCACCATGGTTAAAAGAAAAAGAAGTATCTACAATTATGAAGGGATGTGAGGTGAATAAAAAAAATTCACTTTTCAACAAATTTATTTTTAGAAGAAAATTAAAAAATCACCTGAGTGCCCGTGATAGAAAGAAAATATCTTGCATGTCACACTTATGGAGAGATTAGTCACAGCATTTTGTTTTTATTGGGGGATATAATGAGAATTACTATGTTAAGTTTTTTTTTTTTTTTTTTTTTTTTTGGGTCAATTAAAGTAGATTTTCTTTAAAGAGAGCTAGTACAAGGTAAGAACTAAGAACACCCTAAAAATTCAGTCCAAAACAGCCAAGCACAACTTCGGGAGGGGGTGTATTTAATTGGAAATTTGGGAGATTTTAATAGATTTATAAATTCATGAATTTTTACAGAGTTTAACTGATTTGTAGAGATTCTATGTAAAATTTTGATTCAATTCCCTCGAAATCTCATAGGGAGATGTAAGATTTGCGCATGTTTAAAATACACTACAAAATCTCTCAAATTCCCTTTAATTCCTCAACTTTTCCAAATTCTCTAAATTCTAATTCTAATTGAATACACCTGGAATGTTATAAATCTTTAAAATTCTAATTGAATACACCCAGATTTCTAAACATTTTAATAAACTATCTTAAAATCCGAATTGAATTTCAGAGAACCACTTAAAATCTTGATTGAATACCCTAGATTCATTAAAAGAATTAAAACCCCTAAAATTCCAATTAAATACACCCCCTTCAACTCCACATAAAGAAATTCCAATAAAATGGGCCGCCAGAGGCAGCCATATGCCAAAAAAAAAATAAAAAAAAATAAAATCCTAAAACTAGAAAATGAAGGCAGCCACGACCACCACGTTAGCCACACCACCATCGCAAAGACGCTACCACTTTGATGAAGAACCAACGAAACAAATGGATGAACGGAAGTAGCCAAGCTATCCGCACTGTGAGCGCTCCTATATTCCTACCAAATAGTGCAAATCGCACGTTAAAAGCCACCAACCACTAAAGTGTGCTGCCGGAGGAGACCCCTCAAGGAGGCACCCGATGGGCTGAGTAGCAGGCTTATGTCGATGAGAACTCGCGGTGACGACGAATTTTGGTGAAGGAAAAGGTATAAGTTCCAGATTTGAGACAAGCTTAGAGCAAACCGAGACAAAGCTCAGAAGGCACTGAGACATAAGCTCAGAGAAACAGCAACCAAAAGTAAAAACCAAAATAAAGAGAGAAAGAAAGAAGGGGCTAGAGAAAGAGAAAAGCATGCTGAAATGTTTTGGTTGTCATCGATCCCACCCCAACCAAAGGGAGGGGTCGGCGATTGGGGAAGGAAAGGGTTTAAGGTTGTTATCTAAGAGAGAGAGAGAGAGAGCATCTTTTTCAAACCCCAGCATGGTAAGATTCTACACGCTGATTGTTCTATTTCAAACAATTTGAGACAACTTGCAAAGATGATGAATCTGTGATACAACGAATGAACTTACGATCACGTAACGTTTAAATTTAGATAACTTAAGTTATGCAGTTTCTTCACCAGAATGCGTAAAAAGAAAAAACAAAAGCAATAGATCAAATGGTAGAGTACATAGATTCAGAGAGAAAAGCTATGTAGGGGAACGCGGGAATCCAGCCAAGTGACAATATCGTCAAGGACGGTAAGAATTCTGTCATCGGGTTCTCCTTCGAGAATGGAATGATAACCTTCCGGGTAGAGTTTTAGGGTTTTATCCTTGCTAGAGGCCTTCTCATAAAGAAACTGGCTCACCCGAGGATCAGTCACCTTGTCTGCAGCTCCATGAAGAACTAGGAGTGGCGCTGATACCTGACACATCTCCAATTTTGTTAGTACGGGACATAACATTAAACGCGTGCAGTGGCAATATGTAAGAATGGATGCACATCAGACACAATATACAGCTGAAACTGACCTTCTCGAGTTGCATCTCAATATCCTTAGTAGCTTGTAGCAGTTCCACAGCAGTCTTCAACCGCACATTGTCGTTGTAGCATATCACATTGTAGACAGCCTGATAAAGGACAAGCAAAACATTGACTCGGTTATCTTCAATACTTAAATTTGTATCCTCTGAAAGCAGATACAGATATTTCGCTATTGGACCAATCCATGTCCATCAGATTTTTCATACAAGTGCATTCATGTTTGTAGAGGAAATGAATGACAAACCATTTCCCGTTTCCGAAGGTCTCTGAAGGCCAGCTCCGCTAAATCTTTCTGTGGGACAAGCTTTGCTTTCGGCATAACTTTTGACATGAGAGTTAATATCTTCAGAGCTGCTGCTGGAGGTGTTACGTCTTCTGCAATCTTTCATCAACTCAAGGTCAACAAAATTTTCAGGATGGAAAAGCAACGATGGAATCAAACTTATTAAGAAAGTCTACAAGTGCAAAATTATAGTTGAAGATGTTAAGATTCAGGGTCTTTTGAAATAATGTCCTCTAATTTTCTTTTTTCCCCAGAAATAGCATGGACATCCTCAATTTGTAAAAACAGTCATCACAAGGAAATTCTTAACAAAGAGACTCAAACTTTTTCTCTAACATGGAAACATTTAAATTCTACCAAACTACAAGAAATTTGAAGTTGAAATGAATGAATCTTTGTTTTAGTGCCGCAAATGTCTATACTGGAGCAACAATTAACGTACTTTACACATTGGTGCCACAAGAACTACTCCATCCCATGCATATGGTTCCTTTAGGTGCACTTTGAGAGTAACGGCACCACCCATGGACTGCCCCAATATAAAGCGGGGCAACCCTTTCAACTCCGGTCTTTCTGTAAATCATAATTCAGGAAGAATTAATCAGTCTAAGATCCCTGAAAATACTTATTTCCTGTCAAAATCTGTAAAGCAACACCTTTTTCAATTAATTACGCTAAAAGATAATAAGGCAAAGTTGCAGTATCTGATGATCAAGATGCTAATCACTGCAACACCTTTAATCTTGGTGTACTGTTCGATCACATCATCAGCTAATTGATCAAAGCTTGGGACGTAACCATGCAATCCTTCTGAAAGACCAAAACCCGGATAGTCCATGGCATATACAGCGTAGCCAGCTGCAGCAATTCGCCTGGCAATACCTGAAAAATCCAAACTTTGACCGATATCATGTGTCCTAAAACCTTAAAATTTGGCTCAACTATATAACAATATACCAAAATCAAGAACATTCACTCACTACTTAATACTTGAAAGGAATGACACAAACCTTCAAAGAAGAAAACGCAAGTATCACCATATCCGTGACAAAAACACATTACACCTTTAATTCGAACACCTTGTTTCGGCATCCAGCTTTTACAGAAAATCTCCACCCCCCTAGAATTCCTTTCGTACCACTGCAAACCCAATTAACAGTAAAAAATACTAGAGATACAATATCATCACGAAAAGTGATTTCCGCAAACCTCTTTTCTTCCCCGTACACTCAACATAAATAAACAGGGTGCATAACCAAGGAAACGGTGTGCGGAAATCATTTAAGTATCATTAACCAGCCCTACTTATATTTTCTCAGAAACCAAACAGAACATAATAGTTTGAGACGAGCAAAATTAAAACTTTACCTCCTCTGTTCTGATCCCAGTTGGAAACTGCCCACCAAACCAAAAGTACGAACAATTAGATGATTGACGATGAAAAGAAACAAAAATGTTAATCATAAGTAAAATCGAAAGAAACCAACCTTAAACAGGACATGATCGAGCTGTTCCTGAACTTCAACGAAAGCGGATCGAACCTGCCGGCGAGTGCGGGCAAAGTCGAGGTTCTGCCTGGCGATCGAGTTCAGCTCCTCGCTCAAACCTTCAATGGGTGGCCTTCTCAAGGCTGAAACAATCCGGCCGCGAGCTCCTCCGGGGACGGAGAATGTGGGGTTTTGGTGGAGGTGGTCGATTGGGGTTTGGAATCTGAGAGGAAGCTCGAGAGTTTGGAGTCTCAGGGAGCGAGAAAAGTCCATTGGAGTTAGGGGGAGCTCAATGAGGAAAACGTCAAAGGGAGACAGAGCTTGATGTTTCTCCAGAGGTCTTTCAGATTGATTAAATTAAGGAATACTTGGACTTCATTTTCTGGGTTTTTGTTTTGTCCACGGAAAGTGCACGTCGCTGTTTCCAACAGGATGCGCATGGAGCATGTGCCAAATATATTTTACTTTTTTTTTTTAGCAGAGTGATCAATTATAATTATTAGTTTAACCAGTATTTTTGTTGTTTAATGACATTTAGAACATAAAAATCAAATTAATTAACCATTTCGAGGATAGAATTAAAGTTTACTTCTGAACCATAAATGAGATAAAAATTAAAGAAATTTTGATAACTGCGTCATGACTATATCTATATACTTTCTTTTCGTAAGCGAATCAGAGAGTATTCTCATCAAATTGTTGGTAATTTCTCGTTAAAGGTGATAACAAACCACTAATAATGCCTTCGAAGAACTCACAGAAAGATTCAGAGATCAAAGAGAGAAAGATAGGAAGAAAGAGAAAGAGAAAGAATGAAGAGAGAAACTGTATTGATTTGTTTACTAAATTACAATATCTGTTAATCAGCTATTTATACACGAAATACAATCTTAGCTAGTAAGCTATTCATGTAACTAATTAACTAATATAAGCTGACTTGGCAGTCCATCTAACCCTTGAATGTTGTAATGAGTTGACAGTCCATCTAACCATTGATTTATGACACTCAACATTCCCCCTCAATCGTGGCTGGGGTACTCAACCTAAGATTGTAAGAATGTCGAAGAAAGGACGGACTGTGAAGACCTTTTGTAAGAACATCAGCAATTTGATCTTCAATTGGAATGTAAACCACTTCCAGATCTCTTTGTTGAACACATTCTCTCACAAAGTGAAAGTCGGTATCAAGATGTTTTATACGAGAATGAAATACAAGATTTGCAGTAAGGGCAATGACTGACATATTATCATAATGAATTATGGGAGGTGAAGGCAAAAACACTTGTAAATCCTTTAGTATTCCCCTTATCCAAGCAACATCAGTTGCGGTGTGAGCAAGAGCCTTATATTCAGCCTCTGTTGAGCTTCTTGATACTGAACATTGTTTCTTTGATTGCCAAGACACTGGATTGTTGCCCATATACATTACATAGCCTGTGATTGGCCTTCGAGTGTTGAGATCAGCTGCCTAATCAGCATCTGAAAAAGCAGTGATTGTCTTTGTCTTTATTTGATCAGCTGAATATAATATCCCATGGTGCAGTGTACCATGAAGATATCTTAGTATTTGTTTCACTGTTGCATAATGCATTTCTGTAGGAGAATTCATGAACTGACATACAGTATTAACAACATATGCAATATCGGGCCTAGTAAATGTCAAATACTACAACAATCCTACAATACTCCTATAAAGCGATGGATCTGACATTAAAAAACCTTCAGAAAATAACATTTGATCATGAGGTTTGCATGGAGTAGTTGCAGGTTTACATATGTCCATACCTGCCTTATGGATCACATCTTTTATATACTTTGATTAATTCACAAAAATATCCCCATTATTCTTATACAAGATCTACAATCCCATAAAATATGTTAACTGTCCCATATCCTTAAGTTCAAAGACCTCATATAACTCATCAATCATCTTTTGAATCTTGATAGAATTTGAACCTGTTAATATGATATCGTCAACATAAAGTAGAAGAATAACAATATCCCCATCATCCTTCTTGATAAACAAACTTGTATCAGAGGTTGAAGTCTGAAAATTCATGGCAGTCAAGTAACATGTGAACTTCGAATTCTACGCCCTTGGAGCTTGTTTCAATCCATATAGGGACTTGATTAATTTGCACACATGAGTGGGATGTGATGCATCAACAAACCCTTGTGGTTTCATGTAAATCTCTTCTTGCATGTCACCATGCAAGAATGCATTTTTAATGTCAAGCTGTCTAAGTTTCCAATGGTTACTTGCTGCTAAAGCCAATACAATCCTCACAGTAGTATGTCTCACTATCGGACTAAAGGTGTCTAAGTAATCAATACCTTGCTCTAGAGAAAATCCTTGAGTCACAAGCCTTGCTCTATACATGGAAATACTGCCATTAGGATTTTTCTTCACTTTATACACCCATTTGATGCCAACAATGGATCTGTCACTTGGAGGTGGTACTAGAACCCAAGTGCCTTGACTTCGAAGAGAATCATATTCTTCTTGCATTGCTTGCTGCCATTGTGGTAGTGAAACAGCTTTTCTAAATGTAGTTGGTTCTGAGGTATCAGTAATGGCAGAAACAAAACTATAGCCTCCACTAAAACAATCTGCTTCATTGAGCTGTGGAGATTGCAACTTAGGAAATGATGCTATAAATGCATTATAATCTCGTCTTTGAATGACACCACTTTTCAATCTTGTTACCATCTGGTGAACAGACTCATAAGTATTGATATTATCAGAGATATATGTGTTAATGGATGACTCATTTTGTGATGAAAATGGCAAGATTACCTAAAGTTGTGAATCTGTGTGGACATGCAACAATGATGATGTACCAGAGTGATGATGAGGGAAATATGGCTCTTGATCTTGCTGTGAAACCAAAACTGACTCCCTTGAGTCTCTTGATTGTGACTCATTAGCATTATTCATAACTGGTGCAGACAAGCTTGGAGTTGAATATCGTATCTCAGCATTACTTGTAACAGATGACACTGAATTGCCTTCTTCTTGAATACCATAATCATCATGATGTACATTGTGAGAATCTGAAACTGGAATAGGCATTCGAATAGCTATATACTTTTGATGAGACTTTTGGGAAACCCCTGAATTAACACATTTGGTACCATAAGCTAGTTTAAAAGGATAAACATCCTCATCATGTATAACATGCCTTGAAATAATGAACTTCCTACTATGAATATCATAACATATCACTCATTTGTATCTCATTGCAAATCCAAGAAAAACAAACTGACTTGATCTAGCTTGCAGCTTATTTTGGTTATAAGGTCTGAGATATGTATATATTGTTGTCCCAAACACTTTAAGATTGTGTATTGCAGCATTGTCACCAAATTAAATCTGATAAGGTGACTTGTTATCCAAACCTTTGCATGGCATCCTATTTATTAGGAATGCAACATATGAACAAGCATGATACCAAAACACAGTAGGAATTGAAGCTTCTGTCATCAAACTCAAAGCAGTTTCAACTAAATGCCTATGCTTTCTTTCTACAATGCCATTCTGTTGAGGTGTATAAGGACACGAAATTTGGTGCACAATACCTTTTTGATCCAAACAACCTATCATCATACTATTTACATACTCACCACTACCATCAGTTTGCAAACATTTAATTAAACTGTTAAACTGAGTCTGAACAAAAGCATAAAAGTTGGCAAAAATCTGAAACACATCTGATTTATTTATCATTGGAAAGATCTATACAAATCTCGAGAAGTCATCTACAAAGCTGACATAATACCTATACCCTTCTATAGATCTCTGTGGAGATGGTCCCTAAACATCTGAATGTATCTTTTCAAATTTATGTGTTGCTCTAACTTGTTTTACAGAAAAAAGGTAGTCTACACATTTTTCCTAAAATACAATCTGAACAAATAGTGGAACAATAATCTTTATGAACTGATATATTTGCATTCTTCAACATTGTAGACAGTACTTCTTCAGTTAGATGTCTCAATCTCTTATGTCATATTGAACTTGTCACCTTCTTTCCAAGAAATGCTCCACAGTGCTCCAACTTTGCAGCAAATGAACCCTTAAAAACAGATACTGGTATCTTGAACAATTCCCCATCATCACTCTTTCCTTGGTACAAAATCACTCGAGTTGCCTTGTCTTGTATAAAGAACACCAAATCATCACAAATAAACCAACATTCATTATCTCTACATAATTTCTTAACTAATAACAGATTCATGGCAATAAGTGGAACATGTAACACATGATTTAGCACAAAGGTATGAATATCAGTAACAAGTTCAGAAGCACCAATATTCTTAACAGTCAAACCTTCTTCATTGCCTATGGTGATTTTAGATTCACCATTGTAAGGAGTGGCCTGATTAAGATGTTCAAGGTGAGCTGTCATATGATGAGTATCGCCTGTGTCAACCACCCAACTATCAGCATTAGAGAAACCATGGACATTCGGACTTGCTTGTGTCACATTTGATGTTTGAGCTGCCATTCCCACATGTGTTGGATTCAATGATTGTGGTGGAGGAGGTCATTGATAAGAGTAATTATTCCTATGATAGCACTGTATAGCTGTATGACCCTTCTTACCACATATTTGATAGAAAATTAGACCTTTAAAATTTCCTTGAGCACTATCTATCCTATAATAGCAATTTGGTGCAGTGCGACCTCTTCTTGAACAAATTTGACATTCTAGAGATATGCCATATTTGTAGTTTTTATTGCCATGCCAACTGCTTCCTTGGTTAAATCCACTTCCACCTGAAAAATTGCTGGAACTACCATAAGACCCTTTTTTATTGCCAACAGATCCATTGAAGCCACTTGAACCATTAGAGTCACTGAAACCATAAAACCTATTCCCAAAGTTAGAATAAGATCTTGAATTATTGTTATTACCATTGTTTCTCCTATTACTGTTGAAATTCGACCTATGTTGAAAAGATCTTCCACCACTTCCAACAAAACCTGAACCCCCATTAAAACTGCCTTGACCGTTAAACTTCTATGAATTCGAACTTTCACCTTGTTCAAAATCTAATAGCTTCCGTGACCTCATTGTCCATTTGGCAAATCACCATTAACATACATTGTCGACATGGTTCCATCAAGATTATTCATTCTTGTTTCAAGAGAGCCCTCAACTCCAATTAACTGACCCCTAAAGTCCTTTAGAGATATAAATGTGTCCCTAGCAAGAATTATAGTCTTGATGACTTCAAACTCTGGTGGCAGTCTAAAAAGCACAGCAATCATCAAATCATTATCAGTTATCTTCTCCCTTGCAGTCACAAGTTGATCTTTAATAGCCTTCAGCCTGAACAAGAATTTATCAACTGAATCAGACCCTTTTTGCGCAGTGTGAAACTCAGTTTTCAACTGATTGACCCTCACAACAGAAATTGAGGCAAATCGTTCTTGTAACTTCTCCCAAGCCTCTTGTGCAGTCTTGCACCCTATCACAGGATCCATCACTTCATCACTTAATGTAGCAATGAGTAAACTCAGTAATGCCAAATCTTGCTGAATCCACTGTTTGTAAGCTTGAGAAATCTCCTTTGTAACACCACCTTCAGGCGTAATACAATACTTCAGAGGACATTGTGATTCCCCATTGAAAAAATCAAACAGATCATACCCACGAAGAACAGATGAAAACTGATAACTCCGTTTCACAAAATTATCCTCAGGCAATTTTACAGTAATCATACCAAGCAGACCTTCAATCTTGACTGAATTTATAGCCATTATCAGACACCAAGAAGAAATACAAATGCAGTACTTGAAATTCTTGATTAACACACCCCAACTTTTGAATCTTGATATACAATTCTCACTTCTGGCTTCGGCCTTCTATGAAGTAAGAAATTCAATAGACAACAAACTTTTCATTCTTCCAATCTTTTAATTCTTCAGCAATCAACAATCTTTCAACCGAACTTCTTCGTAAACAATAACCAACATCGTATGCACCCAACAATATTTCACATTCACACCAAGTAATTCATATATTTTCACTGAAACATTTTATCAAACAGTTCATCTGCAAGCTTCAAAACAAAAAAAATGCAAGGATCGAGAATACCAGAAAGCCGAACCCCTGAAACACAATGAAAATTCCAAGAGAAATGCAGAAATTCTTCACAATCGCACCTCCTGATGCCAAAATATCAGCAGAAGAGCCCAAAAAAAATCAACTTGGGCGAATGATACCATGATAACAAACCACTAATAATGCCTTCGAAGAACTCACAAAAAGATTCAGAGATCAAAGAGAGAAAGATAGGAAGAAAGATAGAGAGAAAGAATGAAGAGAGAAACTGTATTGATTTGTGAATTGTCCTTACTAAATTACAATATCTGTTATTCAGCTATTTATACACGAAATACAATCTTAGCTAGTAAGCTATTCATGTAACTAACTAACTAATATAAGCTGACTTGGCAGTCCATCTAACCCTTGAATGCTGTAATGAGTTGGCAGTCCATCTAACCATTGATTTATGACAAGGGACATGACAATTGTTTACGTTGCTTTTAAGTGCATCGCATTTACCACGTTCAGCTGAGAGTAAAAGATTTTAATTGGGGGAGCAACGGGAATCAAGCCATGTTACAATGTCATCAAGAACAGTGAAAATTCTGTCATCGGGCTCCCCTTGAAGAATGCAGTGAAAACCATCCGGATAGAGCTTCAAAGTTTTATCCTTGCTAGATGCCTTCTCGTAAAGCAACCGGCTCACCAGAGGATCCGTCACCTTATCTTCTGCTCCATGAAGAATTAGAACCGGGCCCGAAACCTGCAAATGTGTGTCAACGTCACAAAAGGAAAAGCACTTTGCAGAGAAGCTGAAATGGCAAGTTGGCAACTGACCTTATCCAACTGCGTTTCGATATCACTTGTGGCCTTCAGAAGTTCCACAGCTGTTCTTGATCGCATGTTGTCCTTGTAAGAAATCACATTGTAACCGGCCTGCGGAGAGAAATTTAGCATCACAGTTTAATATTGTTACAGCTTTAAATGATGAACCGATTGTCGCAACCATGCGAATAATGTAGCACAAAAGATTAACCTAGAACAACATGTGTACAGAGTCCAATTAAATTGCAAAGTGCACTAAAGGACTAACCGTTTTTCTGTTCTTCGGATCTCTGTAGCTTAGCTCGGATGTATCTTTCTGCGGGAAGAGTTTCGCCTCAGGCAAAACTTCAGACATCAGGGCTAATAGCTTCAGTACTATTGCCGGAGGCATCACGTCTTCCGCAATCTTCACAACTCAGAGTCGACGAAGGAATTTTCAGTTGGTGATTATAGAATGCAATAGTCTAATATAAAACTACATGGATAGGAATTATGGCCATAAGCGCCGTTGAAGTTTTGTTCAAAATTCAAGTGGTTCCTGAAACAAATAAAATTATTGACGTGATTCTTGAATGAGCACCTACTAGGTGCTTATCCAGAAAGCGTTTATACGAAACCATAAGCGCTTTCAAGTATTTCTTTTACCCATCTGAAACAGTCCCAAACAGATCAGTTAAACAACCAAATTAGAGAAAGGGAGCTTACTTTGCACATTGGAGCTACAAGGATTACTCCATCCCATTTGTCCGGCTCCTTAAGATTTATCTTGAGACTCACGGCTCCTCCCATGGATTCTCCCATTACAAAGAATGGCAGGCCTTTCACTTCAGATCTTCCTGGAGTTGCAATCAATTCAAAGAAATTAGCAAAGCCTATATTGTGAAGAATGTCACTGGAATCTAAATTAAGCAATTTCATACCTTTGACATCAGTAAACTGTTCGATTACATCGCCGACTAATTCATCAAAGTTTGGGATGTAGCCATGCAATCCTTCAGAAAGACCGAAACCCGGATAGTCCACGGCGTATATAGCGTATCCGGATGCAGCAATTCGCTTGGCGATACCTAACAATCCAAAATTTTGAAGCATACCATGTGTGGAACTTCTTAAGTTTAAGCAATGCATTGGCTAAAGATTTGAACTTGGGTTATGTATAAAACAGGGGAAGGAGCAGAGATGCCAACCTCCAAAGAAAAATGTGCAAGTACTACCATAGCCATGGCAGAAGCATAAAGCACCTTTGATTCGATCACCAACTTTTGGCAACCAGCTTTTGCAGAAAATCTCCATACCCCTTGAATTCCTTCCATACCACTAAATTGCCCATGTCAAATTCTAACACCGTCATTATTAAAGAATCAATGAAAGTAAACAATTTGTTACAGACGCGAGCGTAACAAAATTGGCTAGAGTGAACACGCTTCTCTATCCTTCCAAGTTCGAATCCCCCGCTCGTGGAGTTTAAATAGTTTAAAGAAAAATATCACTCGTGCAAAATAGATATAAAATAATAACATAAACATTTTGCTTGTTACCTCCTCTGTTCTGATGCCACCATGATCCATCTAAAGAAAAAGAACAGATTATGAGCGAGTCCATAACTACCATGAAATTGAAACTTGAATTGAATTGAACGAACCTTGAACAAGCAATGATCAAGTTGCTGATGCACGTCGATGAATGCGGACCGGACTCGTCTTCGAGCCGGCGCATGGTCCAGATTCTGCGAAGCTATGGCGCACATCTCTTGACTTAACCCTTCCGTTGGCAACCGTTTCCAGGCGGTAACTCTGAAGTGAGTTTTTGGGGTTTTCGGATACGATTTTGATGGGAGGAAAGAGGGTAGGTGCTTCCTTTGTGGTTGTTTGCTCGGAGAGCTTGATTTCCGGTGAAACGGAGGGGGGGTTGGTGGTCGGAAAGTCGGAGTAGGTGACAGGATCATGGCTGTAAAGATTGGACTGACTTTTGGAAAGTTAAGTGGATTCAACGTTTGATATTCAAAAGTTCTTCGCTTTTTGGCAAACTCAAAGAAAACGTGTAGATTTATAATCGCCTTAATTATCGATTTATCCTCTAAAATTCAATATTTTTTCTAATTTGTCAATTAGTTGACCGGAGATTTGATTATTGGTATGGGGAATGCTAGCTATATTTTATATTTGTCTTTCCTTATCTATTTTTCTCCCTCACAAACAAGTTATAAGTTATATAGTGTCAACTGATGAGTGAAAAAAAATAAATAGGGAAAGGCAAATAAGGAAAGTAGGTAACATACGCCGTATTAGTCTAACTTCCTCAATTTCGATTTGGTAGGTAGTCCAGAGGTCGAAATAGACTTTAGTGAGCAATCAAAGACGATCTTGGCAATACCCGTGGACAAAGGAGCTACTTTCAACAAATCAATATAAGGGCAAATCTTCCTTAACCCACATGTAACTCAATTTTGTATTTTGTTTCTCGCTTTGGTTTATTCTGATAAGTTTTGCTCTAATCCTTAAATGAAAGACATCATGAGACTAAAAAATATATGAAGTTTTAAAGGACTTGACGAAAATGCTAAAAATCATCTGAATATGTACTGAACTTTCTAGAGATTGAGCATGGAGCCAAGGTGAAAACCAAAAAAAAAATTATATAAAATTGTATAATTATAGCGTCTCTCGCATTGACGTGGTATCACATGAGACCATAATATAGAGAAGTTTCATATTTTTATGAAAAATGTCCTAAACATTACTTAATCTGATCGCCTCAACACAAGTTTTTATCTTGAGAACGAGGATAAAGGAAACATTATCCTAGTTTCATTTACTTAATATCATATTCCTTTTAACAAGGGAAAATGGAAATTAGAGCTCTATTTCATTAATCTATTGGTGTTGGATACAAGAATTTAAATCTTCAAACTATTTGCGGAGATCACCTTGGGTCCATATGCTAGTTTGGCTTTCGGCTTAAATGGGTCAGTGTGGGATCCAACTCATATGACATGGGTCTGTGGCAGCATATTGGGCAAAAAGGCTAAAGCCCAATTTTCCCTCTTAAACTCATCTTTCTTTTCAAAGTATTGGTGTTGACACTCAAAAGGTGTTATCGGCTTATTTGGAAAAACTTTTAAAATAACTGAAAGTGTTTAGAACTAATTCTTAATAAAAATACAAGTAAATTTTGAAAAAAATGTTTGAAGTGCTTCCTGCAAAAAACACATAAGCGTGCTTCTTGCAGGAAGCAATTCAAGTGCTTTTGGAACAAAAAAAAAAATTTCTCTATAAGCGTTTTTAATCATTTTAAAAGTATTTCCAAACGAGCTATCATGCAAATTTACGTTGTGTTTGTATAAAAGTAAAGTGCACAACGACGTTCTTTGAGAGCCGTTTACAAATCTCTTCTTGTTATCATTTTTTTTATGTAATTGTGATTAAAAATCTGAATCGGTACACAGAAATAGAGGCACTCTACAAACAATTGAAAAGCCATATTCCATTTGACGTTTTGTGGTTCCATTCAACAGCTCTTGAACTGAAAACCTAGGTTGTCCCCAAATATTTAAATATTAACATTAAACCAAACCCCTCTTCCAAACTTCTTAAACTAGCCTTAAATTCTTTGTTTGTATTATGTTCATCTTTAAAAAATGATTTAATTATCTAACCTTCTCTTAATAGAAAAACCAAACACAACACTTCATCATGATAAGTGCGTCTAGATGACCAACAAATGCAGTGTCGTGTTAAGCCAAGTGGACAAAAAATAATCTAACAAAGTTTGTGTAATTAAAAAAAACATAATCCATGTCGTTCACAAAAAAAAGTACAATTCGTGTCATTTTTTGTTTTTGTTTCTATAGCTTTTATCACGTAATCTAGTTTTTGTCTCGTTCATCTTATTACTTGTATTAATTTAAGGGGTGTGATTAGGAGTTGATGAACATAAGTCCCTTATTTTTATTTTTATAAACAAATAATATTATCTACATTAAGATGTAGGGGAGTGGGCAAAGTCTCAAAATGGGTCAACCATTATAATGCGGTTCAAATTCGTCTTGACGAGAGTCAAACTTAAGACATCTCACTTACAAGTGAAGAGGAATATCATTATACTGTAGTACTAAGTGGTGATGAACAAATGTTTTTAGTACTAGTCAACTTGTCCCTCGCAAGACTATTCTATTTATCTTTAATTTTTGTGTATAGTCCTCTCGTGTGTGTTATCGGTTGTATACAACTATATCTTGTTAGGTTACAATATAGTTGAGGGACCCTAATTAGGCTTCATTAGGATAAAATAAATGACATATCAATTTACATTAAGTGCTGTAGTTTAGGGATCGTAGAATCCTCATTTGTCATTGACTTTGACTTGGCTTCTTGATTAAGAGTATATGGGAAGAAAGTTGGGGTTTTTATAAAACTGGCTAATTGGTAATATAGTAGTTCGATTTCTTATAAGCCTTTATTAGGTTTTTCTCCGCATTGAGGTTAGACTCTTTCACCTTCACATCCTCACACGGCTCTTCATGTGTGCTAGATTTTCAAGCCAAACAAGTAAACAACACAAATTGAATGCGTGGAACACGTGTGGCAATTGAGATTCACATGTGGCCAAACCATGAAGAAGTTGGATACCACGATAAAACTAATTGGGGAGTATCACAACTCCTTATAAACCCTTGTTAGGTTTCTCATCATTTTCTGGAATGTGAACACAGAACATTGATCGATCATCTTCAAAGTTTAGGAAGTGGTTACGATCGAACTCCATTTTTTGGTGTCGGACTTTTTACAATGCGCATAGAAGACACGTATATGAATCGATTTGGTAATTAGTTTTCAACTTGAAAAAGCATTCAACAGTAGTCAACAGTTGGAAAATCGTTAGCCGATCACTGGGATTCTCGTTTCCATATTCATATCCAGAGAAGTAGCTGTGATGTAATTTGATGATGATGGGGTTGGGTGCTGTATTACTAATGGAAGTTCAATGCATGATTAAATTAAAAGCCCAAAAATAATTTTTATAGCTTCTATCATGTAACCTAGTGTATGTGTCATTGTGTCTCTTTCATCTTGCATGTAGATTTATTAGTGTATTAATTTAATGGGTGTGATTAAGAGTTGATGAACAGATGTCTTTTAGTAGCAGTCAGCTTGTGACTCGCAAGAGTACTCTATTGATCTTTAATTTTTATGTATAGTTCTCTCGTGTGTTATTAGTTGTGTACGACTATATCTCGTGTGTAAAATAATGAGAAATATACATACATACATATATATATACATATATATATATATATATATTTGACGTTGATTTCATTCATCAATAGAGTTTACAATATATATTTACATCTAGGCTTCATTACGATATAATCAATGACATCAATTTATTTATTTATTTATTTATTTATTTATTTTATTTTTATTTTTTTTGAGAACCTCGGCGGTACGAGGGAATTTTATTGATAAGAAAAAAGAAGTTACACCTAGACAGGGGGGGACATAAACCTAACCCCTCATAGAACAAGAGAAAAGAAATACAAAAGAAAAGGGGGGGACATGCACCTTACCCCTTTTGAGAAAGGAAATGCCAGAAAAAGAGGGGGGGACATAGACCGTACCCCTCTTGGAAAAGAAAATACAAGGAAAAGACTAGGCGGACATAAGCCCAAACCCTTCTATAAACCTTAAAAGGTAATAACCTGCAAAACAAAAGGGAATCCAAAAAGGTTAGGAAAAGAAAGGAGAAGACACATCAAGAAGAGGAGACAAACCTGTAGGTTGGCATGCCCAAGAAATCTGAGTGCAGAGGAGGGAGGATCTCAATTGGGGGAGTGGAATGCCAGACAAGTGAAGATGATAGTAGCCCTAAATTGGCTAATTTGTCAGCAACAACATTCCCTTCTCGAAAAATATGAGAGCAACGAAAAACCATGTTCTGCAAAAGGAGAGTACAATTGTTCCAGCGTGTCTGGAGCGACCAAGGGGGAGAGAAAGATCCAGAAGCAAAACATGATATTACACTCGAAGAGTCGCTTTCAAGCCATAAATTTTGCCAGCCTCGCGCATGGGCCAATTCGACAGCAAGGATGACAGCATGGAGCTCCGCATAGAAAGAAGTACGATGGCCCAAGCTTAGGGAGAAACCACCAAGAAAGTAACCCGTAGAATCTCGAAAAACCCCGCCACAAGCCGCAGGACCCGGATTACCTTTAGCAAGGCCATCAGTATTCACTTTGACCCAAGAAGAAGGAGGGGGGTGCCAAAGAACAGGGACAATAGAATGAGCTTTACAGGGGTTAGGCGATATTCCAAGAGAGACTAAAAGTTGCCGGTCCAAAATGCCTCGTACATGTCCAGGGGTGAGAGCTCCAACCTGCCTAATCCAGGCCAAGGTGGAGCGGCAGAGACGTGAGAAGGAGGGAGGTTTGCCTTCAAACTTCACTTTATTACGCATCTTCCAAATAGCCATGAGTAAGAAAAACCCTGAAGCTAGCCAGACATTGCGAAGATGTGGAGAAAACCGCTTTGACAGAAAATCAAGCCATAGATCAGAGAGGGAGCCCGTAGGTTGAATAATAGTGCCAAATTGGGTGGCTAGCCAACGCCAAGCACATTGTGCAAAGTCACAACTAGAAAATAAGTGGTCAATAGATTCAGAATTCTTGTGACATAGTTGGCATATTGGAGCCAGCGGGATGCCTCGGCGCTGAAGTTGATCCTCCGTTGGGAGCTTGTTGAATAGGATCTTCCAAACTAAAATAGAGTAACGAGGTGGGATGAAAGGACGCCAGATAATGGAAGCCCAACTCTTGACAGGAAACCGATGACGAACAATTTCATAGCCATCGGAAAACGAAAAACCACCAGAAGAAGAAGCTTCCCAAATTAAAACGTCTTTATCCTCATCAATTGGAAGAGGCATTTCTAAAATCTCTTTAGTTAGGTCTGGGAAAGTAGAAGAAAAGATAGAAGGAATAACCCATTGTCCCATACGAATAATATTTGAGACCTTAGTACGAGATAGAGAAGGGCTGGAT